ATAAAATCTTAAAAAAATAATAAAGTTAGGGCTGAAAGCCAGAGCAGAGAGTTCCAAAGGAGTCAATTTCTTTCTTTTTCTTTCCTATACTTAAAAAAAGTTACTGTGTGAAATACAGGCTTCTTATACAATCAGTTACAGCAAACAATGTAGGCATCTTTGTGTGTATGTGTAGAAATGTATGGAAGGGTGGCCCGAAGTTTTAGTGATGGTGATCTCTAGCTAGTAAGATGAGAGGCGATTTTCATTCACACTCTGTGTATTGCTTGAAATTCTTATAAGGACCATATGTCATCTCTATGTAATCAGGAAAAAAAAGCTAAAGCTATTTTCATTTTGAAAAAAAAAAATTAACCATATCTGCAGGACTTCCTTATAACTTTTCTGCATCTTCTTACAAATCTATAATTATTACACAATGAAAAGTTGTTGAAATTGACCTACCAATATGTGTAATCTTTTTTTTTAAAAGATGGAAAGATAAGTGACTATGACCAATAGATCAAGGTTTAAAAAAAAAAAAAAGCCTTTGAGTTTCTACTAATGGCCATTAAATATTTATTTCAGTCTCTCTCTGGTTAAAACATTTAAAAAAAAGTTTCAAATATAAAGTCGTGCTCTTAGGAATATGACATTTTAATCTTTTCTTTTTCAAGGCACAGAGCAAAGAAGGGGCAGAGTGTAGAGCTTCCTGGATCTCTTGACAAAATGCCTCTGGACCAATGAGCACAGGCGATGCCACCCCCACCCCGCCAAGCACTTCCCAGGCACCACCTGCATCAACCCAGCCCCTCACTGAGGGCACACAGGTCCCAAGGCACCCACGGCAGGCACAGAGCAGCCTTCTCAACCACAGAACCATTTTCTCTTGCCTAAATCTCTGCCCTGAGCTCTCTGCCCTAAATTTCTGACCCTCCATTTATTTTCCACAGAGACCTTGCAGAAGGAAAAACATGCCTACACCTTTCTGTTAAAATACATACATATATACTTAACAAGAAATAATAATTTTGCAAGGGGGTAGGTGGCCACCTCCTCGACGGCCTCAGCACTAGCTTCAGGCTTCCCGGTGAGACATGTGTCCTGCTGCCCCCGTCACACTCACTAAAAGCAGCCGCTCTGCGACAGGGATGGAGGCAGTCTGGCTGCTGGTCCAGCACTTGCAGGCTTGAAGGCAAGACAGGAAAGGGTAGCACAGCTGGCCTCTTCCTTCAACCGGAGCCCCTCCATGACACGTGTCTTCCAGTGCTGGCTGCCCATGCCAAGCTCAACAGCAATCTTTCAAATCTGACCCACTGCATCTAGAGGCTTCAAGCTTTGTCTGTCCTCAGTGCTGATTTCTGCTCTACTCCTGGTTTACAAAGTCCTGAATGATCTCCCCGTTCCTCTCTCTAGACTCAGCCCTTGCCTTCCAGGTCCCAGTCTTAAGCAACCTCCTTCCAGTCCCCAGACAGGCTGTGCCCTCCCAGAGCGCTGCACCCACAGTCCAGCAGTCCAGTTAGGTGTCACTCCGTCACTTTCCCAGTGGGGCCTCCGTAATGGTACTTGCTGAGCCAAGGGGCTGCCACTCATCTCATCTCAGCGCCACCTTAGGAGGGTCCCTGCCACCCCAACCCTTCCTCTGCAAAGAAACTGGCTCAGAAAGCACAGGTTTGGGGGGTCGGTGGGGGCATTGGGAGCTGCCGAGCTAACATCATCCTAGCAGCCAAGAGCCTGGTCCAGCTGCTCTGTTACCTGCAACGGAGACCCCTCCTCCCGGTGCTGCCACTTTGTCGGAGCTCACAGCTGAGCCCCTGACCAGTCGGAGCCACCTTCCCTGGAGGAAAGGCAGCAAACCAGCGGGACCAAAGTGCTTTGGGGCTGCCTGGGGCTCACCTCTTACTTTTCTTACATCCCCTCAGAGGCACACAACCTGTAGCCTGAGCTCTGGCCCTTGCCCCGTACAAATCCCCAGGCAGGAGAGCGGACATCTCTGGCAAAAAGGGAATCTCAAACCAAAGCCGACACAGAACGCACGCAACTGCTGTCACAGAAGAGCATTGGACATTCTGCACCATGAAGCGGGATCTCGGGGACAGACAGATTTTAATTAGCATAATAGAGATCCTCTAAGGCATAAAAGAAGAAACTGTAATACAAACCAAGGGGAAATATGAAGGAGAAAAATACAGACGTTGAACACAATAGATAAGCAGTATGATAGATGCAAGAAGAGAACAGAGAGAGGCAATGGAATGTTGGGAAGAGAAATCCATCCAGAAGAAAGAAGAAAAGATGAAGGAGTATATTCAGAGATAGAGAAAATAAAAGCAGAGATTTCGGTATTCGGATAATAGGGAACAAGAAAGAAGAAGGCTAAAACAAATCAAAAAGAAAAGAAAGTATTTGAAGAAAACTAATAATTCCCCAGAATTTAAAAAAGATTCAAGACTTTATACTACAAGAGTTTAGAAAGGACTGAACAAGATATACATTAGTGAAGGCACATATTAGTGAAATGTAAGTTACTGAGATTAAGTTCAAATTCTAAAAGCTTCCACAGAGAAAGAGAGTAAAACATCAGGTTTTTCAATAGCAATACCAATGCAGAAAGACAAGGGAGTAATATTTTTAAAGCCCTGAAGGCAAAGAATTTGGAACGCAGACATTTCAAACATGAGGGAGAAATAAAGGCATCATCAAGTGTGCAAAGCCACTGGAGGTTTGCTGCATAAAGGCTCAATCTGAAAATATGCACCAAGAAAGTCCTCAAATAAGAGGATAAATAATCCCAGAGGAGAAGATACATGGGAAATAAGGCTAGTCAGACTTAGTAAGCCCTGTTGCCTAAAAAAGAACCAGGAAAAAAGGAAAGGATTTCCAAAATTCCATAATTAAAACATTAGACAACAACAACACGCTTGGGATCAGGGCTTGGAAAAGAGAGACTCAAAGTTCACATGAACCTGTACAATCCTTGTATCATCAAAGGACCAACCTGCACTTGAGAAATGATAATGGGATAAATAAACTCAAAGTTGGATCTTAGACGCAACCGCCACGAGAACAAAAATAGAATTTGTTCTAAGTGATAAGAAAGTTCTTATCTACCCACTAGAATGCAGAAAACAAGAAAAAAAATTTAAAAAGCCAAGTATAATGGGAAAAAAAACACTAAGACATCAGAAAGAAGAAAGGAAGAAAGAAAGAAAGAAAGAAAGAAAGAAAGGACAGGAGGGAAAGGAAAGAGGGAGGGAGGGAGAAAGATGTTAGAGATATCTCATAGTTAAACAATAATTACAAGTATAAATGAATAAAACGCACCAATTAAGGACTCTTAGATTGGCCACAAGTAATACACTGTCTATGAAAGACAGATTCAAAAAACATAGAGAAAGAGGATGGAGAAGGACATCCCAAGCAAATACGAACCAAAAGAGAGCTGGAGAACCAATCTCATTATTTGATGATATAAAATTCAAGAGGTAAAAAAAAGAAGCAGGAGACATAGCCAGGTGCTGTATATACTGGGAAAAGAAGCAAAAGAGGACAAATGTGATCTTTCACATTGCATGTACCTAACCATATGATCTCTTACATAAAGCAAGAACCCAGACGATGGCAGGAAGAAAAGAGAAGTCAACAAATACCCATGGATATTTTAATCCAATCCTTTAAGAAATACTAGAACAGGCAAACAGAAAATATGCAGAGATGTCCAAGATCTAAATAATCCACTAAACAAATGCTCAAGTAAGTAAATCTAGAGAGCTCTTCACCTAAATGGAGAACATGGGATGATCTTCCACATTCATAAAAACTAGCCACACTAGGCGACAGCCTCTGTAAATTTCAAGGAATCAAGATAGAGACTATCTGTTCTGATCACATAATTAAAAAACAATGACAGGGCGCCTGGGTGGCTCAATGGGTTAAAGCCTCTGCCTTCGGCTCAGGTCATGATCCCAGGGTCCTGGGATCCAGCCCCGCATCGGGCTCTCTGCTCCGAGGGAAGCCTGCTTTCTCCTCTCTCTCTGCCTGCTTGTGATCTCTGTCTGTCAAATAAAAAAAAAATTAAATTAAATTTAAAAAAAAAAACTTTAAAAAAAAATGACAAGGGACGCCTGGGTGGCTCAGTTGGTTAAGCAGCTGCCTTCGGCTCAGGTCATGATCCCAGCGTCCTGGGATCGAGTCCCGCATCGGGCTCCTTGCTCAGCAGGGAGCCTGCTTCTCCATCTGCCTCTGCCTGCCATTCTGTCTACCCGTGCTCGCTCTCTCTCCCTCTCTCTCTGACAAATAAATAAAATCTTTAAAAAAAAAATGACAAAAATCAAAGCTTAAAAAATATGTGTATAGCTGGATATTACATGAAAAAGAAAAAGAGACGGGAAAATTTTTTGTAAAAATACTTAGAACTGAGTAACAATGAAAACACAACTTGCCAAATTTGTGAGACACAACTCACAGAGAAATGGATACCATTAAATACATTCCCATGTTCATTCTCTGATGCTGAAATGAGCGAATGTTTCCCCGAAAGTCACCTAAATGGAAGGTGGAGCACTGTGGACATGCTCTCCCAAAATCTACAGCTATCTTACTATCTCCCTGGTGGCCTGCCAGGTGCTCTGCCCCCCAAGACTCACAAGAGACAAAATATAATGCTGTCAAACAGAAATCTCAAGGAAAAAACCACATACAGCAATGGTACACCCACCTTAATTAACCACTGCCCAGGAGGCCTTGCCAAGCTTAACCAAGGCCTATTGCATGTCAGGAAAAAAATACTATGACCCTGAAACCTACAGAAATTCAAAACCTTTGGATCCCCCATTAACCTGGGTGTGAACATCAACAGACCTTACAACCCAGTCTCTCAGAAGCAGCTGCTAAGAAGCAGGCAGTGCTAATTTCACACCCACCCCTCCGGCACCGAGAGCCAGCCCTTCCCACCGTGTGAGATGAGGACCACCCCTCTGATGTTCCTGTCGGGACAGTGAGACCCGTTCGTACACAAGTACCTGGTAGGGTAAGTCAGCCATCCTTAAATAAGTTTCCATTTTCAAACAGAAAGGAGACAAACTGGGGACACCATTGTTAGGTCTTGCAAACTGATGCAAAATAATAGCATCTTTGGAGTCGATCTCTTGCTGTTTCCTGCCAAAACCAAAACAGAAATAAAGAACAAACCACATGTTGTACATTCAATGCCCTGAGTTCCCCGGAGGCCCCCGGTGGATTGTGGCTCCTTCATGAACACGCAGATCTGTTTGTCACGGGGGCTCACCTCACCCAGAAGCAGAGTGGAAGCTTGGCCAAAACACGAGAGAACCTTACAAGTGATCATGGTGACCCCAAGGGCTTAGAGAGTAGCTGCGTATCAACCTCCTTTGGCTAACTATAGCCCATGGGGCAGGAAGAGTGCCCCCCTCTTCCCTGGCGGGCTATGCTTAGCCGCTCGGCACAAACTGAGGCATAAACATGACAGTGTGTGCCTCCCGGGTGTCAGGCCTTGTTCTAAGGGATTCACAGGTATCATTTCATTGAATCTTCACAATAACTTTGAGGGAGCTACGACTGTTATCCATGAGTGACAGATGAAGAAACTGAGGCAGAGAGGATTACCCTGCCCAAGGTCCCTTTGCTAGTAAACGGCAGACCAGGGACTGATCAAGGCAAGCAGAATCTATGTTCTTGATCCCTGGACTGTACCATGAAACTGTCCCTAGAACCCAGGAATCACAGCGTAAGTTTACTTTGCTAGGAACCAAGTCTGCTGGGAATCTGAGACCCTGAATCTGGTCCCCCTTCCAAACTAGGTGTGCCCTCGCCAGGCCCTTCATTGCATGACACCAAGAAAGCCAGCTTCTGGGCTCTCTCTCATCTTCTCTAGCTTCCCAGCACACAGTACATAACTTCATATCCCTGCCTCTTCCCTTTCTTCTATCTCAGACACACATCTAGCTTTCCCTTGGCTACTTTTTTGGGTAGGAGGATTTCCCTGGTACGGCTTTGCAATGGACACCGTATAATAGAGAAAATGCTAGATTCCAAGTGTGGACACAGGTCAAATCCAAGCCCTGCTTCCTACTGGCCACGTTACCCTAGGCCTCTCTTCTTCCCACTCACAGAAAGTGAGGGCAGTACCGATTATGCATCAGGGAGCATGATTAAATTTTAAAAATCTGTAAACATCTGTGGAGCTCCCAAGCATCCTATAAGAATGGTTAGAATCCATTCTCATGCACAGAGATACGGTCTTATCCCCTTAAATGACACTATCTCACCATCCTCCACAGCTTCGCTCCTACACCACCCTCAGGAACCATCTACAACTCCCCACCTTTAGCTTGGCCCAACCACTTCCCAGTCACATAGACGTCACTCTTCCCCGGGGCCTTCCCCGAGCCTCTGGCTCCTCACATCGCTCCCAGTTTAATCCCGTACCTACTTCCCCCCAAGCAAGGGCAACCTCTTTACATCCTCGGCCCACAGAGCACACCCCCTGCAGCATCTGCCTTCAGTAAAACCAACTCTTCCAGAGAAGTTCATGACCAGAGTGCCCATTCCACTTAAAGAGCTCAGAATGACTCACTTGGAAAACACTGCTCAAGTCAAAAGAATAAAATATTTGCTGTTTTCTGGCAAAATTTGCTATATAAAATGAAGACTTTCATTTAGATGAAATGTCGGGGAGGTCAGATATTAAAATCAAGAAGCCTCTTAAACTGTTCCCAGAGAGCACAAACTACATTTGACAGTTAACTGATGTTGTCCAGTCAAATAATTCAAGTCACAGAGTGGTATTTTCTGCTAGGCAAAAATTTAAGACTGGAAAGGGAGGAGATAAATATAAAATCTTTTGCTCCACTGGCCAGAAACATCTAATTCTAATGGTTAACTTGGCCGCCATATCATAATAAGAACGGATGTGACAAGCATGGGCCAATGACTTTGTATACATGATGCATACTAACTTATTTCACTCTGAAGTAATACCATAGAGTGGATATTGTTATAGTTTAAATTTAGTGTATATTATATTACACAGCAGATAAGGAAACGGAAGCTCAGAGAGGCTCAATAATTTGTCCAAAGAACATCACTCTAACATCAGGCCATTAGCTGCTCCAGATCCCAAGCTCTTAAGCCCTTCATTGACACTGAAATGGGCAATTTCTCAATTAATTCTATCAAAACGGCCAGTTTGACTTGGGTCACTCAAGCCTGGAACCTTCCTACGGAAGTTTTAGTAGCCAATGTCGGCCAACTTCTATTAAATGCTCACTTATATGTGAAATTGTTCTAAGCAGTTCACACGTGCTAACTGAATCAACTCCGTAAGGCAGGCTGCTATTATTGACCCATTTTACAGATGAGAAAACCAAGGAGCCAAGAAATTTATTCTCATCTCCAAGGTTACTTGGTTAAAAGCGAAGTGAATGTGAACCCCCTCTGGTTCCAGAGTCCTCCTTCCACACATCAGAAACTACTCCCTTAGGATCAGAGGAGCAGGTTATTTTTTAAAATACCTGGACAGCTGTACCTCCCAAAGTGGCTTTATAATGAGGGTTACAGAAGAGAACATGTACGGAGCTGCAAGACTGGCCCCTCCTCCCATCATGAAGGATATCTCAGGGGACTGTGCCTCTGTGTGCCACTGACAAGCTGTTAGTTTATGGAGGTCAGATACTGGTTGACCTGGGGGCTGCTCTGATTCCCTAAGTTCTCTAGGACAGGCTGAACCCTAACGCCTAAAGTGCAAAAGAGCTACCAACAACACAATCATTATTTAGTTCATTTAATTTACAAACAACACATTCTCAAACTTTAAGATAGCTGCTACACTGTCACCACTCAGGGGAGGTAAAGTAGAGGGCTGAGACAGTATTTGGTTAAAAATACTGTCGTGGGAGAAGCAGGCATAAAATCCAAAACAGTTCCTTGGGTTATACTCCTTAATGCAACTTCCTAAGTACTTCTCACCAGTCAACTTTACGTGCTAGACACACGGCCACACACTCAGGTTAAGTCTCTCCGGCAGAAAATCCAAGTCGAGTGATGATGACTTTACCGTTGTCCGTGACCTCAGACACGGTGATCATTTCAAGATGTGTCTTCCACCTTGCAGATTCTGGACTGTTTCGTCTTGCCTAAACTATGGAGACAACTGACAGTGAGATTTCGCCCTAAATGTAAGTCTGTCATGTCACCTCTGTCTGGCAGTCCCAGACCTTGCTCAGTCTTTCCCCCCTTTCTGTGCCCCTAGAGGCTGTCAAAAACTCCAGTCCCTAATCACAGGCCTGTCTTCCTTGGGCCATATCCCAATTCTTTACATTTCTCTTCTTCTCCCCCCAGCCGGGCTTATGTCGTCTTTGGTACTTTCTAGGAGGCAGCGGGAAAAAGTGCAGACTACACACACACACACACACACACACACACACACACACACACACACACACTCCCAGGTCTGGATCCTACTACTCCTGCTGTGTGATCTTAGGCAAGTGGTTTTACCTCTCTCTCTCTCTCTCTCTCTCCCCGCTGTAATTGCCTTAACTATGAATTCGGAACCAAGCATCCAGCCACAGCTGAGAGGGATAAATCCAAGTAAAGCACTTCTAGATGGGCAGAGTCCCTACTAAGGGATCAAATATGGGTGGCCATTTTTATTATTTGCATTATAACAGGACTTTCTCTTCCATTATAACACATTTCCTACCCAGGCTTTAGACATCTGTGAAGAAACAAAAAGTGAATATAACAAAGATTTAAAACGTCTCAATCCACGTAAGTATCCAAGTAATCTGCTAAGCAGTGAAGGACACATCTGCGGGCAGAAGGCTCTTCTGTGTCTAACGACCACACCTGCCAGGGTGTGGCCTGTTCCCAGGATGAGCTCTGGGCTCCTTGCTATTTCTGCAAGGTCATTTAAGCAAGGTTTAGAGCTGGTCCTATGAAGCCGCGTGCCTTCACTCCCTCCACAAAGTGTTAAACCGGTGAGAAGCCACAGGGTTCTGGATCCTGAAAAGGTTCTGGACTGGAATATAATTGAGAAACAGCTGGGTTACCATTTAACGTACTGCACAAATGTTTTGGGTATTTTCATACAGCTTGAAATCTAACTCGAAATCGAGTTCTAAAACTAGCAAAAAAAAGGAAATAATCTAGGGAAATGCACCTTAAATTCACTTCAAAAATCTTTACATGGTTCAACTAGATGATTCAAGGCACCTGCTAAGTGAGAGAATTCACGGTACATAATAAGGTTAAAATAAAACTTCTCAATTATGGCTAAATAATAGTGAAAGCCAATATATTTCCTCAGACTTAAATGATTTCCCACCCTCTCCGAGATTAGAAATATTCAAAATACCCAAGTTACCCTGTCACAATCTCCTGGAATCCCTGTAGACCTGTTAAAGGTCACCGATCACTGTCTTTGTTTACAAGCTATTGTGTAAGATTTCCCCCTGAAAAAAGGCAGTGTGAACACATTTGTCACTACTTTAAAAATACTGGTCAACAGGGATATTCTGAGATATTGAAAACTGCCCGCTTCTGGTCATCTCCCAGGGACAGAGGACTCCAACGCATGGAGATTTTAACCATAAATTGATGTTGTCAATGAGCCAAAGGACCACCCCAGGAGCCTTTAGTATTGTCCTACTCAGACAAAGATCTCCTGTCCTTCTGGATGTACCAACAGTAGGGGCCTCCATTTTCTGGCATTTCCAAATCAGTCCTGTAAACATTCTGCGGCAGGCAGGCTATGCAACTGTTTACGGCACTGGGTGACTCCCGTGTTCTTGTCAAACACGCCCATGTGCTAGTCCTGTCCTCGGATCTCCTACTGCTCACACAACAACGACATCGAAATCCCCGCGATGGTGCTTAGCTTGAAATACCTGAGCAGCCCATAACCAGGTTAAGGGCTGCACCAAAACGCACACCCCTCTACTTGGCCATGCCCCTTAACAGGGACCCAGAGGGCTCTGGAGCTTTTGCATTTCAGCTTTTTAATGATGTTGAAATTTGGGGAGGGATAGTGGAGAACTAACCTTTAAGTAAAAGGTAAGGTTAGTGGTTAATATTCTAGCATAATTATTACCTATAAACAAATAAGGCATTCCCTAAAAGTGTAACTTAGTATCTCCACCAGGCCTCATTCTATTGTTGCAAACATTGCACTTGGATCTTGCTAAGGGCATTTCCTAATAGACCATTTTGCTCCACAACATCCCGGAGAATTTTTGCTTTTTAGCACCAAAGGACTGCGAGATAAATGTTTTCCCCTCCCACAACCAGTTTAAATTCTCCTGTCAACTCGAAACTGCCCCTCAGGCCGGGTGACCACGGACTGCCTCTAGGGAAAGGTAAGGATAGGATTCTTGGGCATTTGCGCGGCGTGACCGAGAGGCTGGCATGGTCCCCCCTCGCGCCAGCCCTGCCCTGGCCAGGTGCCCCACTCGGCGCCCCTGCGCGGGGCCCTCTCTCCGGCTCACCTAATGACCAGGAGTTCGTGGAGCAGATACGCAGCTGCGGCCAGCAAAGCTCCCCCGGTCAAGTAAAGTGTTTTCTTCCACCAGGGATCGGAGCCCAGCCCTGCCATGATCCCACCGTAATCCTGCAAAGGGAAAGCGATGATGTCCCCATAAAAGGAGAAGGGCTCCTCGGACCCGGCCCACCAGCCGAAGAAGGAGACGCTCTGGTTCCAGCTCAGATCCACCACGCACGGCCTGGACGAGGCAAAGCCAACCCCCCAGTGCATGCTGCGCGGCTGGCTGCGGGCGCCCCTCCCAGGGCCCGCGCCGCCCGCATGGGAAGGGGGCCGGAGGGGCCCGGCGCGGGCTCAACGGCGCGCCGCGGACAGGGGCGGCGCGGGCGGCGGCGACCGAGGAGGCGGCGGCGGCGGCGGCGGCGGCGGCAGCGGAGGAGGAGCAGGAAGGGCGCGGGCCGCGGGCGGCGGGCCTGGCCGGCGGGGCCCCAGGGCCCGGGGCGGCGGCAGCGGCGGCCGCCGGCTCCCCCCGCAGCGGCCTCTCCGCGCCGCTCTTTGTGTCGGCGCCTGGAGAAGGCCGCGTGATGTCATTGCTCCCCGGGGCAGGGAAACAGAGGCGGGATAAAGTCACCTACCCCGCGCCCTGCCCCCGCCCCGCATCTCCGCGGTCCGGCGGCCTCCGCCCGGGCCGGAGCTGCGGGGCTGGGTGCGCCCCGCGGGCTCCGCGCCTCCAGGCGGCACGGCCGGGAACGGCTCGGCACGCTAGGGCTAGGGCTGCGGAGGTGCCTGGAAATGCGGCTCCACCGGGAGGAAGCCGCAGTCAGGGCCCGGATCTCCGTCTCCCCCGCCACCCCGCCCCGAGCCCCGGCCCGCCCTCTGCTGTCGCTCCAGCCCCTCCCGCAGGCCGGGGATCGCGGAGCGCGCGGAGCTCACCTGAGGCCGCGGCGAGTGGCAGGCTGGAAACGCCGCCCGGCGGGGGCTGGGAACGAGGGCCCGGACTAAGGTCGGCAATTAAATAGTTCTGGCCGGCGGGAAAGCGCTGTGGATTTGCATAATTTATCAAAACACTCTTGTTACAGTACACAGTTACCTGGGTCTTGGCCGTGTGCCCATGGAGAGATGTCTGGTTTGACAAATAACAACAAAAATGTGCTCTAGAGAGAGCACCCCTCTGACAGACCCAGCTCGAGTCCTTCCCGTTTGAAATCTTTATCAGGGAACTCGTAGATGTGGGGTGTTTGGGTTTGTTTTCCTTTTCTTTTCGATGCAAAAAATCTGGCAAACGTGTGTGTGTGTGTGTGTGTGTGTGTGTGTGTGTGTGTGTGTGCGCGCGCGCGCGCGCGCCTGTGTGTGTTCAATTTTTTTCCCTTTAACTTCATTTTGTTAATTTAATTTTGAAAAGTTGATTAGTCCAAACAATAGGGCCATGTTTCATAGTTTTAGGATACACACACAAATTTTAGCAAGAGCATGAATAGCTTAAGGTTGTTAGAAGGAACTAAAAAAAAAAAAAAAAATCAAGTAGGGGATTTATCTATCACTCGAAAGGTGAAAGGATGGTATAGGAACCGTCTAGGCTTTTGCGTGAGGAAGGCGACCCTGGGTTAAAGGGGAACTCCTTTTCTACTTCCGCTACCACATCAGCGCCTTAGAACCCCAGTGAATGCTGTCAAGGCCCTAAACTGTGGGGTTTTTGCCATCACGAGGAAGATGCGGAAGGAGCTAGCCACGCACCCGCACTTGCGGGGTCTCATTCACCGCTGTGTCCGCACACGTGACCTGTCTGGGAGAAGTAGTGTGTGCGCTTGGAAAAGAAATTCTCCTGAGCCGGTTGCGAGGAATGGAACCCAAGAGCCTGTTGGAGTGACAGGCAGTCACCAGATTCTTCCAGGGAGCAGGACCAGAAGGCTTCCGGGCCTTAGTCTCAGGAAGCAGAGTGCGCAAGTTTGGGATCAGAACAGAGATGCTTGGTGCTGGCATGCCTGGCTGGCTCAGTGGCCAGAGCATATGGTTCTTGATCTCCAATTGGTGAGTTCGATCCCCACGTTGGGTGTAGTGATTGCTTAAATGAACTTTTTTTTTTTTATTTAAAAAATTTTATTTTTTTATTTAAAAATTTTTATTTTTTAAATAAATAACCTTTAAAAAAAAAAGGAAAGAAAGAAAAAGAATGCTCTGTGCAGAGATGGGACAAGGAGCTCTGCACCAGCGATTCTTCTTCCTTCTTATTCTGCGCCCTTCCCACATAGCACTAAGCTTTTGCTCTCATTAAATGTTGAGCCAGTATTTAAAGAGTGACCATTTGTTATTTGGTACTGAATAATTTTCCTGAGAGTTCAGGTTCAGTCATGAAGATGAGCATAAATTACCTGCAGTGAAGCAATATGGAAGACAAAAGGGAGAATCAATACTGGCAAACTCGATGTCCAGGAAACAAGTTAGAAACCAGATGAATTTAATGTTTTGATCCCAGAGAGCCACTGGCTGCATGTTACCCTCACAGCTCCTCTGGCAGGTGGACCTGCCCCACCCACTCATGGAAGCCCAGCCAACTGCTGCTTCCTGGTCCCAGCAGACCATCTTTGAGCATTACTTGGTCTTTAGTTCAGATGTGGTTTAAATTTCCAGAGATGCCCTGAAGGGAACATCTTTTAGATGCCCATGTAAGAGAAAATTTCACGAAAAAAGCTAAACTATAATCCTAATGTGATGCAGATTAAAATTTAGCCTTTAGACCTGTGGCATGGAAGAAAGAGTATTATAAGTCAGCTTGTATAATAGTGAAAGGAAGCAGAGTAATCTCTGAGGAGTCAGTAGACATAAGAAGTGGACAGAAGTTTGGTATGAGAATGTCAGAGCAAAGCTACGGTGAACAAGAGAAGCAGCTCCAGTTACAAAGGCACAGCAGCTTTAATCAACCTTTGTGCAAGATCGGGTGAGCCCTTCACAGCCACGCTGCTCCACAAAGGGATGCAATCCAGCCACAAAGAGAAGGAAGACTAAGGCTCAGAGGCAGGGGCTCAGCTCCAGAGGATGGTGGCGGTGTAATTAACAGCCAGAGGGGAACCAAACAGAACTGGGTCAACAACTGACTCTTCCAAGAATGGCTCCTCATCATCCCATATGTAGAGCCAGATCCCAGATTGAACCCCCACTGGCTGTGCAGGACCCCTGCCCTACAGGGTGAAGGTGGAGGGAGCTAAGTATATCTGCCCTCCAGCTCCCCTCCCAGTTCTCCTTCAGCTATTGAAATGGTATGAAGACTATGGGTGCCAGATGTCCACCTCTTCCACCACTGCCACAAATCCTGATAGCCTTGGTGTCATAACCAGGGATATTAGCCCCAAGCTAGAGGGATCTTGTTATTTTCCTTTTGCAAGATTTTTTATTTATTGATTTATTTATTAACTCTAATTGAGGTTTTACACAAGAAAAGGGAAGGGACTAATATTTATTGTACATGAGACCTGCCTGTCTAGTGATATTTTTTTCAATAATGCTTCAAAACAACCTGTGATAGATAAGTATTGCCATCCCATTTACAAATGAGGAAGGTGAAGCTAAGGAAGGTAAGTTAACAAGTTCAATTCCCAGAGCAGGATTCAAACCCACCGTGTCTTACACCAACAGCTCTTTGAGCTTCCCACCATCTACAGTATCTCTCATGCACCAAGGCTGGAGCGCTGTCCATGGTATCCCATCTTTACACCATTCTATTCTGAACAATGTCTAAATCCGATGGCTATCAAGCCTCAAATACCTACCAGTTATACTGTCACCTTTGGAGAAAGGTGGGTTCAGACAGTTCCTTATGCTAATACTGCTATGCCTATTTATCCCTGGCTATGATGATATGACAAGGGACAAGGAAATCAGTGCTTCCCAAACTTGTGTTTCAGGTGCAGCTCTGCCATGACGACCAAATAAGGTACAATTAGATCAGTTCTTCTCAAACATTAGTTTGCATATGAATCACCTGGGATCTTTTTAACATACAAATTCTAACTCAGTAGTTCTGGTGTGAGGTCTGAAATTCTGCATTTCTAACAAGCTTCCTGGTAAGATGAAACCATACTTTGATTAAAAGTGGTCTAGATCAGGGGCACCTGGGTGGCTCAGTGGGTTGAGCCTCTGCCTTCCGCTCAGGTCATGATCTCAGGGTCCTGGGGTTGAGTCCCGCATTGGGCTCTCTGCTGAGCAGGGAGTCTGCTTCCCCCTCTCTCTCTCTGCCTGCCTCTCTGCCTACTTGTGATCTCTCTCTCTCTCTGTCAAATAAATAAATAAAATCTTTAAAAAAAAAAAAGTGGTCTAGGTCAGGGGCACCTGGGTTGCTCAGTGGGTTGGGGCCTCTGCCTTTGGCTCAGGTCATGGTCCTGGGGTCCTGGGATCGGGCCCCACATCAGGCTGCTTGCGGGGAGCCTGCTTCCCCCTCTCTCTCTGCCTGCCTTTCTGCCTACTTGTGATCTCTGCCTGTCAAATAAATAAATAAAAATTTTTTTAAAAAGTGGTCTAGATCACTTGAACTCTACATCTGAAACTAATGATATGCTACATGTTAATAATTGAGTTTAAATAAAACAATAAAAAAATAAAAAATAAAAGTGGTCTAGACCACCAGCTTCTGAAAAGGACCAAAAACTCTGTCCAAAAGGAACTCTCCCCACCCACCGCCATACACACTCCATGTTCAATGGTTCTTAACCAGCCCAATCAAGTCACAGTTCTTGAGTTTGAACACCAGACATACAGATAAAAGAGTTGGTGCAGCAGAATTAGACATGGAGAGAAAATGAATCAAGACTCAAGAGGAGCAATTAGAAGAGACAGGAATGGATATGCCTTTTGAGAGGTCCTAGTCTAAGTGCTAGGAGCTGACAGAGGAAGCCATAGGGCAGGCGAGTTGCGGGGGAGGTGGGGGGATGGAAATGGGGAGAAGACAGAGGATCCTGGGAGATTACTGCTAGTACAGAACTTTTTCAAGTGCCAACACAAAGAGCATAACTAAATGAATAGGATTCTTTTATAAATTTCATTGATACTTGGAAAAAATTTGTATTATACTTCATGTTTCAAAATACAGTTTAAAAGATTTAAGACCTTGCTGCTGTGGTAAGAATAAGTGGATGTGAGGTTGGTACTATCGCTGGTTTTACACTGTAAAATTTAAGATGCCATTTTATTAAAATAGCTCTAAAATATTAAAAAATAAACTGCTACTCAAAGAGTAGAAAATTTAATTGATAATGTTACCCTGGATTTTATTGTAAGGCTTCTGCTTTCTTGGCATGACTTGTG